ACCGTCAGTGACCCAGAGAACCGTCAGTGACCCAGAGAACCGTCAATGACCCAGCTGGCGTACCTACAGCGCCCCCACCAGGGGGAGAGAATTATCTGCTGTGGTGCCAAGGTACGTATCCATGGCAGAATCTGTATGGCCTCACCAGGAGCACACAGAGTTCACCACGCCTCACTTCCAACCCTCTAAACGTGAAGCTTGTGATGTGTTATCTGTAGAAAAGATGAGCGTTGGTATTTTATTCTCCAACTTAACATTTTATAGCAGATTAAAAACATAAAACAGGAGCGTTAGCTTCACATCAGGACGCTGACAGCGGCTCCAGAAATAATGACTTCATTGTTGGATGAGTCTAAATGTTCTGACTGTCACACATGTTCTTATCCTTAAAATAAACATGTACCTATTATAGGCGACGCCCAGCAGAGATATTACTTTATCCTCTGTCATATTTAGTGCTGAAATCTAGATTTGTGTTTTATATTAACTTGGGATGGAATCAAAAACCGGTTCCTGTTCAGAACCGGTTCCATGTGTTCCAATTCCATTTGGTAGCTCGCTTAACGATTCTCTTAACGATTCCAGGAAGCACCAGAGCCTAGCGCTGGGCAGCGCGACTAACGTCACGTTTTTAACATAAACGGCATTCAGTAAGCTAGTACGACGTGAGTAGGCGTAAGTCTAGAAAAGCAAAACAAAAGCGTTCAAAGCGATCGAAAGTTTAGCTTCATTTTAAGGAAGAGAAAGATGGAAACAAGGCGCTTTGCAGTCGTTGCAAAGTAGCAATAACATCTGCAGGAGGAAATACATCCAGCATGCAGAAACCCCTTCGAACACAACATGGCGTACCTTTTAACAAATGCTGCGTTTTTAATGCTTCCAGACAGAAACTAAAGTTACGACCAGCATGGAAGGAAACTCTGGTGGGAAGTAGCTAGTTTTCTATCACTGGCTGAGCTTAATGTGGTTCCTAGTGAATCAGATGCCATTTCTGGAAATAAACCCGTTTCCTACCTCTCTTTGGGATTATTAAGTTTCTCGTTAATCCAGCGCTTCATTGCCAGCATGTTTAATTAGAATCACTGCCTTCTGTTTTCGCCGAGGCAGGCAGAAATAGAACGTTCCAGGCGAAGGTAGACGAATTTCACCGTAAACCTACCAAGTTCATTGTTAACAGAATCGATAAGGAATCTAATAATTTCACAGAATCGATAAGGAATAATGAAAATCTCATCAATTCCCAACCCTAATATTAACTCATAATAACCGTATGTCGCAGCACCATAGATCTGAGGCAGAGGGAAGATCAGCTCCTGCTCCCGGTGAGGGGATAGACGTTCTGGCGGGGTAACTACCTTGGAACGACACCGGTCTATGAGCCAGACACGGGAAGCTGCTGATGTCGTTACATGCGTGTAACTTCCTGCTCCACATCAGAGCAGAGATGATGGTGAGAATTGTAGAAAAGGCTGATGTAGAAATTAGACCACAGATTGGTCCTGTTCCAGATGATGATGTAAGCTAGCTTCATGGTAATAATGTAGCTCTGAATCATGGCTAATGGTTGTATTTATGAAGGTCCTGGACGCGGCGGTTAGCGCGCCCCACCCACATACGGAGGCCTTAGTCCTCCACGCTGCCGGCCCAGATTCCAATCCGACCTGTGGTCTTTGCCGCATGTCTCTCCACCGCTGATGGTTCAACAACAAACCAGTTCCAGACTGGATGTTCTGGAACGAGCACCAGTGTGACGTCACCATGGAGATGGTTTTTCCTGGCTGGTCATCGGAGCGCCGCTGTGGAGCTACTGGATGCAGGATATTCCTAATAACTCAGAAGCAGCTGCTTGGTCCCTCTGCAGGATTTTAATGCTAAATGATGTGATGGTCATACATGGGACACGTCTGAGACGACATGGAATCAAACTTGGTTTATGCTTGAAGCGAGCGTCAGGTCCGCTCCGCCGGCGTCATTTCTAACTAGGGGTTGGTATTGGCAAAGAAGTCATGATTCGATTCGAATCACGATTCACATGCCACGATGCGATTCTATCACGATGCATCATGATACTTGAAATATTGCGATGCATTGCGATATTTTCACTGAAGAGTGTAAGAAAAAGATCCAGCCCTTACCAGTGGCTGACTGGCTGGGTGTGATCTGGATCGTGTC